GACTCACCACGATCATGGAGCAGGAGAGGACGAGAAGGAGGATGACATGCCTCAGGACTTGGAACTCGTCGTCTCGGTCCCTGACGATCCCCACCTCCTCGGGGTCGAGCGCCGAGCTCCCATCTCCGCTCCCCGGGTCCCCTCGGGTCCCGTTCGCCCCCGCCCTCAGGCTCGTGGCCGGGCTGAACAGTGCTTCCAGCTCTTCTTCCTCGGCTTCGTCTCCCACGCTCACGTTTAGGCTTTCGGTGCGTCCTCGGTGTTTCGATATGGAGGCGTGGTCGTTCTCGGAATCGGTGACCTCGGCCAGGAGACTGGTCGTGGATTCTCCCGACGAATTCCCGAGCGCCTCGTACTTGTCGTAGCGCCTCTTCAACCGTTGTTGCATGATGAGCGACATGACCGTAACTGCAAGGAAAACGGTCGTACGTCGTCATACGGCACGGTCGGAAATTGCGGCTGGTATACGAAAAGACCAGACCGACCGAGTAAAGAGACGCTAAGAACTAGAGCGGCAACGATGGCCTGCGTGCGGCCGTATTGGAAGTTCGGATCTTGTTTCTCTGTCGTCTTGGTTTCGCTCGAAACGACGAGGAGAAGGGCACTCACCAATGCCAAGGGAATCCTGGAGAATGAAAAACGAGGCAGGAGTGGTCAGAGACACGATAGAGCGGTAAAAACCGATAGGTGGCAGGCGTCGGAGGAGACCGATACCGGAACGAGTGCGGACAAGCCGTGCACTCGAATGTTACTTCTTCTGTGTATATATAAATACTTAGTAAGATGTGAAGAAATACACTCGATGAATCCTTGCGAATGAATCCGATGCCCTCACCCCCAGCCGACGATCGCAAAGACGGGCCTCATCCGGAGCAGCGTCGCGATCCGCTTGAAGCGCAGCAGGAGGAGCGAGAGCGCGAGGAGGGCCGTCCACACTCGCGAGCTGAACACCCCCATCGCGAAGACGAAGAACTGCAGATAGAGCTTCCACGCGTTGTTGCAGTCCACCAGCGACCACAGGAGCACGCCGATGCAAGCCACCATCTGCAGCGGGTGAACAATCGAATGCGGAGTCGTCCTCGAAAAGGTTCACCCTACGTATTTTGCGATGTATGATTTGGGGTCGATCCAACGACGACTACACGTATAGAACATTTTTGAAGTGCATCCCATGAAGGCCGCCCATCATATTTGAACCCCCGACACGAATCCACAAAACGAGCGAGTTCGGCATCGAGAGACGAGGGGCAGGGGAAACGCACATACCTGAGAGATGATGAGACACAGCGTGAGAAAGTGCGGGATCTTGCGCCACTTGCGGCTGGACACGAACACCGCCAAGACCCAGATGCAGCAGATGAGCCCGATGATGCTGATGTTGAAGAGGAAGGCGCTGAGCTCGTGGATGTAGTCCGCGGGCCGCACCTCCTTCAGCGTCACCATCTTCGCCGACACGAACATCAGCGGGGCCGACAGGAACGTCCCCATCACCATCGCGCTTGCGATCTGTCGTTGGCATGCGATCGTCGTTTGGATTAAGTCGTGGCTCCCAAAAACTGTGACCTCGAGGGAACAAATGGGTCGAGGAACAGGGAAGGTAGGCGATCCCAGGAAGCTCGGCACTGCCTAACGGTGAAGCTAAGTTTTCTCTTTCAGGGCAGAAACGAAACGATTGTCTCCTGCTTTTGCGAAATAATGGTCTCATATCTCTTCTTAGATCTCATGATCTCCCTACCTACCTGCATTTTGAAATGCCACTTCATGGCCAGAATTCACATTTGTGGCGCAATGTGCAATGAAATGAGAGTTTCAAACCATGGATTAACTTTGTACTGACCACTTTTTAACTTTCTATCATGGGGCACAGATGGCCCACGACGGTCCAAATGAGTTACATAAAACAGGAGCAAATGTAAGGCACAGTCAAACGAAAGCAATTCGGCGCTTCCTCGCCACACGCCGCCTGCATGTTCCCTTTCACAACCTTGCACCTAATAAAACGCCACGGTTGCCGAATTTCCCCGACGACCGACAGCGCCGAGCTCCCCGGGTCGCCCAACGCACAACGCACGCACCAGGTCGGCTTCCAGGTTGTACTGAGCCGCATACACGAACACGGTGGGAGCCGTCGGGAACGTCCCGTAGAGAAATCCGTAGTTGCTGAGATCCATCGTCTCGTTCGGATTCGAGCCTGCGTGCAACTCCGTCATCAGTTCCCGATTCAGCAGCGGCGAAATCAACCTGACGAGAACACCATCGATGGTGTTAAGGCGGAGATTCACTCTTGCATCGAGAGTGAAGTACCGATGGAAGTACTGAGGGCCTCGAGTCGGTGATTGTACTCCTGGGCGTCCCCGAATATTAACTGATATTAATATACAGTCGGCACCGCTTAATGGAATACTCCGGATAATAGAATAAAATTCGCTGGTCCCGTGAGTGTTCCAATATGCGGGATTGACTGTATTTAAGGATTCGACACTTTAACGAGCCACAAGTTGTCTTCCAGCGTGCAGCTTTAAAATATGCCTGCCAAGATTCAAGCCGGTCACCTAATCTGGGATATCCAGTAGGAGTATACAGGAAGTTTCCTTGATTAATTCATACGTTCCTTGGAGGCTCCACCACGCCTGATTATGGTAGAAAAAAATATATAATGGCACGAATTCTTACGTTTTGACGCAAATGAGAATGCCAGGAACGACGAGACTAGGGCCTCGGAGACTGTGAACCTTGCCCACGAGGCGGAGACCGAGTACGAACAGGGCCGTCGCCGAGAATGCCGAACCCAGGACCTGAAAAAAAAAACACAAACATTTGAGTTTTTTTTCAGGGGTAAAATTTTTTTAAATTAAATAACGTCATTTAAAAAAAAATGGGAACGAGTCGAAACCTTGAGGATCCCCTCCAGGATGGGCGGGAGGCAGTGCTTGAAGATGAAGTTCCCCGCGATCCCGAGCACCGTCATGAAGACGATGGGATTGAGCGCCACCCCGCTCAGGATCTTCAAGACGATGCTCGCCTTGGACGCCCTGCAGTCCCCCTGGCTCGACTCGTTCCACTGGCGCTGGATCTCGAGGAAGAGGATGCCGATGGGGTTGAGGAAGACGAGGGAGATGGGCGCCACCAGGTACAGGTACGACGGGTACTCCGGGTGGACGTTCTTGTACAGGGCGGCCACTGAGGGAGAGACGGCAGTGCGGTTCGGATCGTTGCGGTGCTCGCTCGCTCGATTCTCGTCGCGGAAATGGTAGGACTTGCGGTGCTATCGCGCGGTTCCATAACGAATTTCATGGAAACGGGCGAGATCGGGGCGGGAGGGGGGGGGGGGGGGGGCAACCCCCCCGGCAAAATGGAAAACCCCG